TAAACCACAACAGTAGTTATCTTAGAGGACTTAACAAAACCGTTGAAATAGACACCACAGATCAGAGAATCAAACAGTTCAAACAGAGAACATAGAACACATAGGTATTGGTATATAGGGGGAGTTGACCAATATCCATGAATGTTGATAAAAACCTGTGTTTCAGATGCTGCTGCGGCGCCCTCTACAGGTAACCTGATGCATACACACACACAACTGGTTTAAGTTAATTCCAGTGGGGCGGTCCCGGCTCAGTGGCCAAAATCACGTGCGCTGACATGCTTGCAATACCACCCCGGGCCGATGGGGGTGGACCTGGAATAAGAATTAGCCAAAGCTAACATATATCTTCTCACCTCTCGAAAACATCTTTACGGGATGGTCCAATTTTCTTTTGGGCGGGACCACTCGCGGCCATTTTGGATAGCTCCAGTAGAGCACAATTTTTGACCCATTTGTTTGAACGGCGGAGATAGGCGTGACTACCTACGTTAATATTTACAGTCTATGGTTCATTCACGATGAGGCACTGATCTGTGTCAGCTGTTTCAGTGAGCACTTCTTCGTCAATCCACTCAACCTTACAGGTGTGGTATATGAAAATTCTGATGCTGGGTTTCACCTCAGTGCTACACCCTCTCTCTAAGAGCGGATAGGCCAGGGGTTTAGGGGGTGTGACCTTCTCAGTGGAGGATCCATTCTTTTGTCATGTTTTCACTGAGTATGATTAAGTTGACTTTATTTTATAGTTTGTTGCATTGTTGTTGAACTTACACTTGTACGTAGTTCTTCGCATCTGCACCTTGTTGCATTCATATTGCACATGTAAATAGTTAATGTTTGGTCTCAGATATTTATCACTTGTCATTTCAAACAGCTTGGTTCGCCATTGTTTTTGTTTTGTAGAGGAGAAAGTAGCCAGCAGAACTTTATAATGACACCCCTTTGGCATCCCAGGCATCATTTCCTTTAAACAAAGAACAGCTCGTTTACTTCCAGTCTGTGCTAGCTCTATGGCGTTGTGGTGACGTTTTTTAGTAATTAGATCGATACATTCAGCTGTGAGACTGACCCAAAAGTGTCAACATGCTTTCTCTCTGAGGAATAGCATTAACTGTGGCCACTCAGAGAGATTAGTTAACTTTATAAAAGCACAATGACAGCCAAAAAGGCCCAGCATCCTCACAGTTTAATTCCTGTTTGAGCATTATTTAGGAAACTCGTGTAAACATTTGCTGAGCTTCAGTGAAACTCAAGCTGATTCCATTGCACCGGAAGTCAAGTGCCGTTTTCACTAAAACACGGAAGTGGAACATGCATAGAGGCCATTCCTGCGAGATCGGCATCATGTGGTTTGGGTATGGGATTACAACATCTCTTCAAAACAACGCACAAGGGGTACGCCCGAGTATAGGAGGATCTTTGAGTGATGTTGCTGTTTATAGTTTTTACGCGCCGGTCATGTGACTGGGTGGCAAAACAGCCAAGAAATTGACCAGCACTCGGAAGTACAGACAGTTTTATAGTGTAACGTCTGGCGCCCCCAGTTGGAAGGCGGATAAACTGTCCACACTACTACACTTATATACAGTGCATTTTGCCCACTAAGTCTATTAAAAGTACTCGTTGCATTCATGCTTCAGTATGTGCCGCTCTGTCTTCTTGCCACCCAGCGAGTGGCGCATGCACACGCGGATGTAAACAACGAACCCCCTAGACCAACAACTGTGGTTGCTTAATCAACCACTGGTCCAGCACAAATTCCAATGCACACAGTGATGCCCGAGTATACATCTGCCTTAATTCCTGACCCCTACACCCTAACTCCTGTGGGAGGAGCTGATAACTGACCAATGATGTGAAGAAGATGACAAAGTCTGGGATCGTGTCTTTAATTCAGACAGAAGACATGTTTTATTGTTGATGGTAGAGCACAAAGAAGAGCACGAACAAAGGATGTTACAGACTGCAAGTGGTAATATACAGCAGGAGAAACGTAGACCTCCTGTCAGCAGCTGCCACGGTGCCAGTGGCTTCAACCTTGAAATAACCAAAACATCAAGTGGAAAAGTACTGGCTTCTGCATATGTAAGAATGAAGAGTTAGAACTTTAACCATAGTTGCTTCAAGATGTCATGAACTATCTAAAGATGTACCCCTAACCTTTTGTTTTAGAGTTGAAGTTTTATTTGCTTTCATGCATCAATATTTGAGCAGGTAAAATTAAATATTGGTCGTGAAGAACCCTGACCCCTAATGTGATTTAAGCTCTTGTTTCTCGCAGGTAAAGACTCCACGTCTGACGAGGCTCCGACAGGTAATGTGGATGTGGCCGTGATTGTGTGATGTAACTACAATGTCATTGCTCTTTTATCTGTTATAGAAAGTTTGAACGCTGCTTCTCCTGATCAGACAGGTGAAAACACACACACAGACACACAAACACACAACACACAAAGACACACAAACACAAAAAAAAAAAAAATGTTTTAAAATAATTGTTGCAAATGATGTGTTTAGTTCCTTCTCCTCCATCTGCTCTGGTCAATCAGAAGCCAGGGTCAGCTACTTCCAGCAGCAAAGAGGACGATGACGGTGAGTGACGCAGATACAACAGCTGAAATCGGTCTACAGGTCTGAACCCTGGATGTAGAGCACAAATGGAGGAATGAGTGGATATTACCCTCGGGTCAAAAAGACCCGCCACAGTGATTAAAAGTAGACCCAGAGCTGATCAAGTTAGGAAAAATCCTCATACAGTGCCTTGCGAAAGTATTCGGCCCCCTTGAACCTTTCAACCTTTCGCCACATTTCAGGCTTCAAACATAAAGATATAAAAATTTAATTTTTTGTCAAGAATCAACAACAAGTGGGACACAATCGTGAAGTGGAACAAAATTTATTGGATAATTTAAACTTTTTTAACAAATAAAAAACTGAAAAGTGGGGCGTGCAATATTATTCGGCCCCCTTGCGCTAATACTTTGTAGCGCCACCTTTTGCTGCAATTACAGCTGCAAGTCGCTTGGGGTATGTCTCTATCAGTTTTGCACATCGAGAGACTGGAATTCTTTCCTATTCTTCCTTGCAAAACAGCTCGAGCTCAGTGAGGTTGGATGGAGAGCGTTTGTGAACAGCAGTCTTCAGCTCTTTCCACAGATTCTCGATTGGATTCAGGTCTGGACTTTGACTTGGCCATTCTAACACCTGGATACGTCTATTTGTGAACCATTCCATTGTAGATTTGGCTTTTTTTTTGGATTTTTGTCCTGTTGGAAGATAAATCTCCGTCCCAGTCTCAGGTCTTTTGCAGACTCCAACAGGTTTTCTTCCAGAATGGTCCTGTATTTGGCTCCATCCATCTTCCCATCAATTTTAGCCATCTTCCCTGTCCCTGCTGAAGAAAAGCAGGCCCAAACCATGATGCTGCCACCACCATGTTTGACAGTGGGGATGGTGTGTTCAGGGTGATGAGCTGTGTTGCTTTTACGCCAAACATATCGTTTTGCATTGTGGCCAAAAAGTTGCCACCTGGTGTGTCTCCCAGGTGGCTTGTGGCAAACTTTAAACGAGACTTTTTATGGATATTGTTGAGAAATGGCTTTCTTCTTGCCACTCTTCCATAAAGGCCAGATTTGTGCAATGCACGACTGATTGTTGTAGTTATCTGCAGTTCATCCAAAGTGATCATGGGCCTCTTGGCTGCATCTCTGATCAGTCTTCTCCTTGTTTGAGATGAGAGTTTGGAGGGACGGCCGGGTCTTGGTAGATTTGCAGTGGTCTGATACTCCTTCCGTTTCAATATAATTGCTTGCACAATGCTCCTTGACATGTTTAAAGCTTGGGAAATCTTTTTGTATCCAAATCCGGCTTTAAACTTCTCCACAACAGTATCTTGGACCTGCCTGGTGTGTTCCTTTGTCTTCATGGTTCTCTCTGCGCTTTAAACAGAACCCTGAGACTATCAAAGAGACTTGATTACGCACAGGTGCATTATATTTATCATCTTCAGTCATTTAGGACAACATTGGATCATTAGGATTGGATCATTCAAAGATCCTGACTGAACTTCTGGAGTGAGTTTGCTGCACTGAAAGTAAAGGGGCCGAATAATATTGCACGCCCCACTTTTCAGTTTTTATTTGTTAAAAAAGTTGAAATTATCCAATAAATTTCGTTCCACTTCACGATTGTGTCCCACTTGTTGATTCATGACAAAAAAATAAAATTTTATATCTTTATGTTTGAAGCCTGAAATGTGGCAAAATGTTGAAAGGTTCAAGGGGGTCGAATACTTTCGCAAGGCACTGGAATTCAGCTCTGAAAAAATTAGTACGGGTACTTTTTAATCACTGTGGCAAAACAATTTTACCTGAGGATAGCACAAGGGTGCACAAACGAGCTTCAGTGTAAGTGCAAAGTCCGCAGAGAGAAGAATGAACAGAGGAAGAGTCGGAGGAAATGTTTCTCCCCCCAAAGTCTAAACACCGGACAAGTTTGTATTTTATTTAAATTCAAGCATTAGTTCTATTTGGTAACGCAGTCGGTGTCTAGATTCATTTTTAGTTGTTTTGGTCCTTTTTCTTGATTTTGGTTGTCATTGTCTCCCTGGTCTGGATCTGATTCTGGGTCTTGGTAGAGTGAGAGGAAAATGCCCACAACAATTGTAAAACGATTTGTGACCCTGATCTGTGAAAGGCACTGAGTAAACAAAGATGACTTACTTAGTTGTAAAAAAAATGTTTTCTCAACACGTCATTCTCACGTCTACCTCCAGAGGGAGCTGTTTCATCATTGTCTGCTGCAGAAATGTGTTTGTTTGCAAACAGCACATGTTGTAGTCTTAGTTGGAAAACAGCTTGACAGAAAAGAAGAGTTGGGGGAATTTCAGAGCTAAAAACATCTAGATGTCTTTTTAAATATGAATATTTCTCCTTTAATGTAATGTTTTTCAGAAGATGAAAAAGATTCAGGTGAAGTGAGGAAACCAGCAGCAAGATTCACAAGAACACGAAGCGCAGCACACAACCCACCTGTCCCCGCACACAACCCCCGAAGCTCTGCCCATATCCCACCTGCCCCCGCCCATAACCCCCGAAGCTCCTCTCACAACCCCCGAAGCTCAGTTCACAACCCCCGAAGCTCCGCCCACAACCCTAGAAGCTCCACCCACAACCCCCGAAACCCCGTCCACAACCCGCCTGTCCCCATCTTCAACCACAGAAGCTCTGCCCACAACCCACCTTTACCCGCTCACAACCCCCGAAGCTCCGCCCACAACCCACGTTTGTCATTCCCCTCTGCACCAGGCTCCGCCTCTTCTGTTCTTGGCCCCGCTCCCTCTGCTCCTGGCTCTGCCCCTTCTGCTCCAGGCTCCGCCACACGTCGTGGATCCAGAAGAGGACCCATACGACCCAAAACTAGCCCCAACCCTGTGACAACAAGCTCCACCCCTGTGACAACAAGCTCCACCCCTGTGACAACAAGCTCCACCCCCATGACAACAAGCCCCACCCCCATGACAACAAGCCCCACCCCCATGACCACAAGCTCCACCCCCATGACAACAAGCCCTACCCCCACAAAGACAAGCACAGCCCAGCCCGCTCCTGTCATCCAATCCAAGTCCTCCAGACGACGGTCATCAAAGAGGCGGGGCAGAACGTCGCGTAAATCAACTACTGTTTGAATAAAGAATGATTTGAATAAAAGTGAAAAGTAAAAGTTACATGTTTAGACAGAGGACCCCACTTTAGTAAGAGTCACATCTACGGCGAGGCGAGCCGGGGAAAATGGGTTAGTGCCATATTGAGAGGCATTCAAACAAACACAAGGTCACCATGGCAACCGCCAGATATGTATGTGTGTGTGTGTGTATGTGTGTGTGTGTCTGTGCGTGTCTGTATGTGGTTCAGGTTTACTACTTGAATATGCATAGATAACCTACAGACCAGAGCCACTGTGGTTTTTACACCAGGAGAAGCTGTAGTTATAAGCAGTTTATATCATTAAGCAACGCTGTTCAACAGAGCTCCTCACCCTGTTCGAGGGCCCTCCCACTGTCAGAGGTTCTACCCACTGTCTGGTTCTGGTTTGGTTCTTGTCTGTTATCAGAATCCAAATGCAAGGAGCACAATGTTGAACACCCGTGGACCTGAAACAATGAGTGACCAATGTTACAGTTGGAAGAGCCTACAGGAGTGGGAAGAGTCTCCTGCTGTGGGAGGAGCTGTCAGGAGTTGGAGGAGCCAGTGGGAGGAGTTATACAAACATTTGTAATTCTTGTTGCGTTGACCTGATTTGGTGATGTACAAATGTTTCCCGAGGATAAAATGTCTGGGTCTGCTCCTGGTCTGTGTCTGGCCTGGTCTGGGTTGGTGGTCTGATCTGGTCTGGCCTGGTCTGGTCTTTGTGTATCCTTCTATTGTATTATTAACACTAGCCTCATTTAAAGGAATATAACTGTTTATTAAAGTTTAACTTCTGACGTTGCAATAAAGTCTTCCCTCAAGACTGAGTCTGACTTATCTCTTCCTGACATTTCCCTTTATGTGAGGTCTGAGGGTGGGCTCTAAGGGACAGTTCTAAACAAGGAGATGGAGAGCAGTTTCAGTGACAGACTGATCCTTGCGTTGTGAATGAGAGGTTCCGCAGGATTTTCCTTCCTGCTACTGTCAGACAGTACAACAAACAATGAAGACAAATGAACAGAGCCGACCAGACCTCACATGTGACGCATCTGTGCAGTTATTTGAATTGTGCTAGAATGAGCATTATGGAATGTGACGGCCCCAGTGGGCCCTTTTATTGTGAAAGCTTACTGCTGTTTCCTTGTCAAGACAGGAGGTTGGGGGCGTTGCTGGACCCAGGCCCTACCTGTCCTCAGCTTAAATGGATCACAGCTGGCTGATTGTCTCCCTGCTCTCCTGCCCAGGCACCCTCTTGCCTTTGTTTAGTTAACTTGATTTATCTACATTCTTATTCACTACACAGATCCACGTCCCACTTACTGCAGGAGAACATGGACCAGTGGACTCACTCCTTCACTGTATCCAACAGATCAGTGAGTGGATGCAAAACAACTTCCTTCAGCTAAACACAGACAAAGATAGAGCGTCATCTGTCACCTCCCTAAGGAGTAGCAGCGACAGTAGCTAAGTTGGTAGAGCATTGGCCTTTGAGCAGGAGGTTCGTGGGTTTCAGCTTGACTTTCACCATCGACTCCCACTGTCTGCTGTCGTTGTGTCCTTGGCAAGACACTTAACCTCTGGGAACACCAGCCACAGTGGGGCGGCTGCGGCTGTTAAGTGCCAAGCTGCCGTTGTGTCCTTAGGCAAGACACTTCACCCCCATTGCCTAGAATGAGTCTGGTGTGTGTGTGAATGGTTGGTGGTGGTCGGAGGGGCCGATGGCACATACTGGTTGCCTCGCTTCTGTCAGTGTGCCCCAGGGCAGCTGTGGCTACAGTAGTAGTTTATCACCACCGTGCTTGGAGTGAAAGAATAGTGACATGTGAAGCGTCTTTGACTGTCCAGAAAAGCGCTATATATAACCAATGCATTATTATTATTAAAACCTTCAAACCAGGTCAGAAATCTAGGGGTGATACTGGACTCTAGCCTGGTCGTACCACACCATAGTACAAATTACATTTCGTTCTAACGTCTGGAGGTGCTCAATTGAGCTCCGTGAACAGGTGGGAGGGGTTAACTCCTTTTGCAGATTGAAACGATTGGATCTGAGTTTACCGTGACGTATGTAGTGCGCCCGAGTCTGTTGTTAGCATTTAGCCTAGCCATCTCCTTTGCTGCTAACGGAACCCGTGGGGAGTAGCGTCACAATTGTTGCCAGCGATTACATTTGCTAAACATTACCCTTGCTCTGGCTTCAATTTCTTGATAGAACCAGACCGGATTACTTTACTATCGCATTTTTCGCCATTACCAAACTACAACCTGCCCGTTCAACGCAAACTCTCGACATCACCCACAACTAACTACAACACCCGCCTTCCGCGCTCGCGGGTTGGTCGGTCGAAATTTAACCGATTGTAATCGCTAACCCAGGGACCAGACCCAGACGTTACATGCAGGGAAATGATGATTGAACGGATTGTATGGATGGCTAAGGCCAAGCTACTGTAACTGGACTTAATGTGGAGTTTGCTATTTTTGTGCTCGCAAAGCCCCCTCTGGCCAGATGTGTAACTGCAGCCTCAATGAGAGGCGCGTACACGAGGAACGAACAGAAACAACAGCTGATATGGTCCTGTCCTCGACAATTTACAGATTTGCGGGGATGACTTCAACAGAGGTTAGACATATTACTGTTATGTATGATATTTAGACCAAATCAATGTGTATATTTTCCAAGATGTGCAAATGTAAAGCAAAGTGAATCATCAAAAGCCTGAATCCAAACACAAAAATGAACGAAGTTTGAAAGAGGAACAAAAACATATTTTGAATGTATAAACGTAATCCTAAGTGTAATAATATTTACATATATATTCACATCCATGAAGTTTGTTCAAAACAAACATTCCAGAATGGTGACATCTAAACCTTTTTGCTTTTCCTTTTAGGACTCCAGTCCACTTGAATCTTCAGTTTCAGAGAGCAGTGACTTTGAATGAGGCAGAGGAGGAAGAGGAGGAGGAAGAGGAGCAGCAAGAGGAGGAGGCAGGAGAGGTCAGGCTAGAGTGAGAAGAGCAGGACCTGATGGTTATAAAGAAGCCCCCTTTATTCGTCCCACAGTGGGTAAATTTAAAAACTAAAATGCAACTCATCACCACTTTAGAAATAAGTCTTACTTTTATTTCAATGTTTGGGAAAAATGTGTATGTTTTTTGACATAATATAAATAAATGTGCTGTGTCCATCTTGCTGTCAGCCTCTGTTCAGGGACCAGATATCAAGTCCTAGAAAAAGAAAGAAAAATATTTTTTATCATTGAGACTTTTTTCCCATTTGATTATCATCACTACCTGTCCCCTGTTGTGTCTGCTCCAGTTCAGCTGCAGGACAGAGGACCCAGGGCCCTGGGGTCCCCCAGAGTCCCCCCAGCAGAGCTGAGGCGCTGGTCTGGGATAGAGCTGTTGTCTTAAGTCTCCTTCACAGTGTGCACACTGTGACGCTGAGACTTATTGCTGTAGACTCGTTCATTTCTACAAATCAATAGTGTAAACATCAGTAAAAATTATATATTTATTATCAAGATACAGTGTGAAAGCAATAAAGTATGACTTACGATACTTGGCCTTTCCTGTTCACATGCACGGATAGTTATAGTGGCTGTAGTCTACTGAGAGGAGTCTCAGCTCCAGACTGCAGACTTTGTTTTCACTTAGCTTTAATATAGCATCCTGGATTTCAGTTGTCCGTATCAGCATGCCAGCCTCCATATCCACATGGCCAACAGAACAAATGTCACCTTTCACCGAAATAGATAAGTCAAAATAATGCTTCCTCCATAACTCAGTAATATTTTGTAGAACCACATACACCTTCAATGTTAGATGGCAGTGGTGCTCTGGAGTTATTCATCGTTTTCACCTCATTCCAGAATTGATAAAAATCCTTACATTGAAGTCCTATGGCAAGCGAGTCAGCTCTTAGCATATTTTCATTTCTTTGAATAAACCGAATACTGTATTTCAATCTAGCTGTAGTTGCCTTTTTTGACTCAAACAATGGTCCTTGTCTGGGCTTTCCTGCTGCATGCCAGAGTCCAAAAGCTTCTCTAGCAGCAGCGTGATGTTCAGCCAGAATGTCATTCCACCCAGGTTTTACATGGGAGGTTTTATGATTTTTCCATTGTAGGTATTCACTACTGTCTTTCAATACTTGGATTATGTTTTTATAGAATATACTAAGCTCATTGTAGTGACTATAGAATGTTTACAGTTTGGATGAAGGCAAGTCAGTGCATCAATAGGTGCATCAATAGGTGAACATGACCGGCAGTGTCATGTTCTCCAGCAGAACATCTGTCCCAGTTGTGAATTTTTCAATATTCTTTATACCTCTTTTGGCTGTTTGTCCAACATTCTTTTTTTCCACTAGTTCTGGCACACTGTCCGTATCTATGGATATAGCTATAGGTACAGTAACTCTGTACCTATAGCTCCGTAAAAACTCTTTCAACATGTCGCCACATTTCAGGCTTCAAACATAAAAATAATTTTTTTTGTCAAGAATCAACAACAAGTGGGACGAAATTTATTGGATAATTTAAACTTTAAAAAAAACTAAAAAACAAAAACTGAAAAGTGGGTTGTGCAATATTATTCGGCCCCCTTGCGCTAATACTTTGTAGCGCCACCTTTTGCTGCAATTACAGCTGCAAGTCGCTTCGGGTATGTCTCTATCAGTTTTGCACATCGAGAGACTGCCCATTCTTCCTTGCAAAACAGCTCGAGCTCAGTGAGGTTGGATGGAGAGCGTTTGTGAACAGCAGTCTTCAGCTCTTGAGACTATCAAAGAGCAGGTGTATTTATACGGAGACTTGATTACACACAGGTGCATTCTATTTCTCATCATCAGTCATTTAGGACAACATTG